TAAAAAAGGAATATCACAACAGTGTGCCTTCGGCTCACAGAACCCCCACCTCAGGACTGAGCCATGAACCATGCCACCCTTGTACCAGTATTGTGTTAATGTTAAAGTATCCTGCTCACAAGGGGCAGCACTCAAGACCTTTATTGAAGCTTAAAAACAGAAACCAAACCAAAACAAAACAAAGGAACCCAAAAGAAAACGCCCTTCTAGAGCCAGAGAGATGGCCCAGCAGGCAGAGGTGCTTGCCACCTGAAGGGACAAGCTTGATAATGTGAGCATGATCCTGGGGCCCCAGTAAAGGTGGAAAGAGAAAGTAACTCCACAGAACTGTCTTCTGACCTCCACGTGCACACCATAGTACTTATGCCTTGCCTCTGAGTAACCACAACAACCATGACAATAATACTCTCCCCGCCAAAACTTGTAATTTGCCTCTTTGGGATGGCTGGATAAAATACACTCCCCCCAGAGTGCATTTCCACTTGAATCTCCAAGCTTTACAAAGGGCTTTTGCTAATTATTAACAGTGTTTATTGACAGTGTGCTTGGGTTTGCCATGCATAATCTTTTAATCTTCACAACCCTTAAGTATCCTGACCCCAGGCTCCGTGTTTAGGCCTGCAAATGGTTTGGTTAATAGAACGTGAATCATTACAGTTTAGCCAAAGGGCCAGTAAAATAAATGTACTTTAATTGTATTCATTTTATAATTTATAATAAAAGGAGAGTCATAAGTAACATATGTGAAGCATCCCCCCCAGTGAACTTCCTGTCATTCACTTGTGTTTGGTTTCACCAACTGCGGCTGCTACGCAGTGAATAGAAATATGGAGAGTCTCCACATACTGTATGTCACAAGCAGCCTTACATGTGTGCTGTAAAGATGTTCAGACTGTTAAGAAAAAGATAAGACTGTGGGGACTCAGTATCTCATTTTGAAGTGGTAAGATCCAAGGTTTTTGCAAAAAAAATTATTTTGTATTTTGTAACTCAGAAGCAGCTATTAGCACATTTCTGAGGTTTAATAGGAGATCAAAACATTCTTGGAAGAAGAAATACATGAGGAGAGACCAATCAATATACTTTCAGTAGTTGACTAGACTGTTTCGTGAGTGGATGCGATGAAATACATATTGAGGTTTTATTGTATGATTAAGAGGGGAATTATTAAATCTCTCAGGTCTTCCCTTCCTCCTTCTCTCCTTCTCTCCTTCCTTTCTTTCTTTCCTCCCACCCCCCGAGATAGAGTTTCTCTGTGTAGTCCTGGCTGTCTTGGAACTCATATTTTAGACCAGGCTGGCCTTGAACTCAGAGATCTGTCTGCCTCTGCCTCCCAAGTGCTGGAATTAAAGGTGAGAGCCACCACTGCCCTGCTCACATTTTATTTTCTATGTGTCCATTTCTGTCTGTGTGGGTGTATGCCACCTGTGTGCAGGTGCTGGCCATCAGAAGAGGCTGACCTGTCTCTGGGAGCTGGAGCTACAAGCAGTTGTGAGCCAACCAGCGAAGGTCCTGGGAATTGAACTTGAGTCTTCTGAACCAGCAGCAAGTTCTCTTAGCCGTTGCGTCATCCCCCCAGCCTCCTCTGTTAGGTCTTTTACATAATGGTCAAATCAAGAAGAAAACCTTCACATGGTCTAGCTGATTTTTTTTTTCTGGTGCTGCTGACCTGCAAGACAATACACTTTGTGTATGCAGGTGAATGCATTGCATTTTTTTTCTATACAATTTTTTATGGCTACATCAGTTTTTTAAGGTGTGGAGGCAGGTATAGTGGCACACATTTTTAATCCTAGTACTTGGGAGGGAGCGGCAGTTAGATCTTTATGAGTTTGAGGCCAGTCATGTCTACATGGTGAGTTCCAGGCCAACCAGGGCCATATAAGAAGACCCTGTCTCAAAAACTTAAAAGAAGAAAAATAAGAAAAGAAAACCAAAAAAGAAATACCTTTTAAATCCTGTGCTAGAGGAGTGACAGGCACTTAAGCCAGGTTTAAATTTGTGTTATTATTTTATGTGTGTGGGTGTTTTGTGTACATGAATGTCTGTGCTCCACATGCCTGGTGTCTGAAGAACAGGGGCATTGGATCTCTTGGAACTAGAGTTACAGATGGTTATAAGTGTGTCATGTGGTTGCTGGGAGTTGAACCCAGGTCCTGTAGAAGAGCAGCCAGTGCCCTTAACCACTGAGCCATCTCTCCAGCTTCAAGTCAGTTGTTTTCACTATCCCATTCTAACAACTCACAAAGTCTCAATTGCATTATTTGACATAGTTACTGTTTTGAGGATTAGACGATGTGGTATTTTCCACTTAGACATCAACTTTCCAGAACATCAACCTTGAATTAGTCACAAGACTCCAACTCCCAAATCTTTGAATCTTGGTAAAAGACTTGTTTCCATTGGCTACTTCCCTGTGGGATGATAGAATTTATAGATTGATGAAAAATAAGTACAGAATAATACAAAACCAACAGTTCAGTCATACCTATCCAGCATGCACTATGGTGATGCCAGGGCATATTGAGATGTGAGTCTCTAGGTGGACCTATCACTTCATGAGCGAGAGCTCCGTTCAGAGTGCTGTGACGGCTGGAAGGGGAGAGCAGGGAGTGGGAACGCAGGGGAGTATGCTGATTCACTGGGTCCAGGGAGGCAGTGACAGCAAAGTTGGGAGCCTCCCTCTCATTAGATCATAAAAAGCTGAAAAATTTGAATACATACACAGGAACACACACACACACAGAGACAGAGAGATGGAGAGACAGAGAGACAGAGAGAGAGGGAGATGACAGAGAGACAGACATGCAGAAAGAGACAGAGAGAGAGGGAGATGACAGAGGCAGAGACAGAGAGAGACCATATTTATCTTTCACTGTTCTGGTTAAAAGGGGAAGCAGCTAATAACGCTTGCTGATGAATAGCTGAACTTATAACAAAGGATGCCACCAGAATAGGAAAATTCCCATTTCTTAGGAGTCTCCCACTCCCCGAGAAAGTGAGAGGGGTAGCTGCGGGTCAGAACGAACAGTTCTTAAGTTGTTTCTGTCAGGGGTTTGGTCACAGCCGTCATCAGCAAGCTAACTAATACAGCAGCATTGAGTCCGGTTGTGCTAGCATGCATGATGAAGCTTGTTTAAAGAGACTCACAGTGTTATTAGCAAAATCTAGACACAGTTTAAATGCCTGTGAACTTGGACAGACCAAATATAGTCATTTATTACATAGAATACTATGCAGTCTATAGAAGAGGCAGCTCTATGAACATGGAGTATTGATATTCTCTCTCTCTCTCTCTCTCTCTCTCTCTCCCCCCCCCCCGTGTGTGTGTGTGTGTGTGTGTGCGTGTGTGCGCGTGTGCGTGTGCGTGTGCGTGTGTGTGTGTGTGTGTGTGTGCGCGCGTGTGCGTGTGTCTGTGTATGTGCTCCTGTTGTTGTCAGGAAAAGTGTTATCAGGAAGACACACATCCCTGGAGTACTTCCAGGAGGCTTTATACTTTTCTCCTCAGCTTAAGCTACACATAAACACACAAAGGGCTGGGATGTGGCTTAGTTAGTCCAGCATGCGTGAAGCCCCAGGTTTGATCCCCCCACCAAATAAGCTTGGGGTGTGATAGCACATACTTGTAAGCCATCATTTGAGAGGAAGAAGACCAGAAGTCCTAGCTCTTCCTTGGCTACATATTGAGTTCAAGGTGAGCATGTGCTACTGTGTTACATGAGAACCAGTCTAAAAAACAAACAAAAGCAAGCAAGCAAACCTCACAACAAACCATAACAAGCCACCACAAAATACACACATATAATACAGGGACAGATTCAGAACACAGTGTTACCATTTCTGTTAAAAATTTAAAATAGCTATTTTATGCATATTCTTGTTCATTAAATAATGTCTTTGGAACTTAATTACCTTTGGGGAAGGCAGCTGGGTGAAATGCAGATGAAATTTTATTGCACATTTTGTTGTTTTTTTGGTTGTTTTGAGAAAGGATCTCACAATGTAACCCTGGCTGACCTAGAGCCCTCAATGATCCTCCTTCCTCAGCCTCCTGAGTCCTGCACACTGGGCGATTGGACAGACTCTGTGCTACTTAATTTTTAACACTTCGTGTATTACTTATTTTAAAATGCTTATTAAAAAGAAAATCTAATTGTGCCCTTACAATTAATGGCCTTCCAGGAAGTTCTGCAATTTGAGAAACAGTAAAGAGATTACAAGAATTTAAAACAATCAACTCTCTGATCTTTTATGTGGTTTCTGATTTGCGTTTTCAGTAGTAGGATTTTTTTACTACATTAGTTTCTGAATGCAATAAAATGAATGCGAATTATTCTTTAGTGAGCAAAACCGAGAAGTGTCGGTGAAACAAGAACTGAGTGCCCTGAAGTCAGGTAACCGGTAACTCAAAAAAGCAAAAAGCGGGTCGGGCTTAAAATTAGTCCTGAACAGCCCAGCGCAGAGCATCCCCAGAGGGCTGTTGATGTGTTTTGTTGTGACTTTCTTGGCATCACAGGCAGGTGGCACGTTACCACAGTTCCCGGACGCCAAGGGATTAGCTGAGCTCTGACGCCAGTATCACGGATAGTTTGTCAGATTTTTATCTTTTCTAGAAAACCTGATGTACTATTGTACATGGAGTTTACAAACCTATCCAAAGAAAAGTTTCCAAACCTATCCTGGCCACCAGGAGTCTCGGAGAGGCTGTCCAGCACGAATTAAAGGACCCCACAGTACAATTCTTCGCGCTTGCCAAAGTGACACAGTCAGTCATTCCAACCCCTAATGGTACGTGTTGTGGTCCTCATAGCTAGACCTGTTTTGCGAGTGGATGATTCCTCCTAACCCCCACCCCGGAGGGGGGGGGCATCACAGGGTGAACCCGACTAGCGAAGGAACTGGAACCGCGGGTCCAGTGTGCACCGGCCTGGGTGCTGCGGGAAGAACCCACCTGTTGCCAGGTAAAGTGCCTCTTACAGTATTTACTTACTTATTTATTTGAGGAAGGAGGCAGTTCCTAGAGGTTTAGTCAGCCAGGTCCAATCTGAGATGCAGGTTCCCGCCTGGGGTCGGGCGTGGTTGTTGTTGGCTGCCCTGCGGGCTCCGCCTCCGGTCCGGGCGAGCTCCATAAAAGCTGGACGAGCAGGTTCGCTCTCACCCGGCGCTGCTTTGGGCTCAGGGCGCGATCCGAGTTCCCCCAGCTCTGCCAGCATCGCGGGTACCATGGCGCAGGAGCTGCAGCACCCGGAGTTCGCGCGCGCGGGCCAGCAGGCGGGCCTGCAGGTGTGGAGGGTCGAGAAGCTGGAACTGGTGCCGGTGCCCCAGGGTGCCTATGGTGACTTCTACGTCGGAGACGCCTACCTGGTGCTGCACACGGCCAAAGGGAGCAGGGGCTTCTCCTACCGCCTGCACTTCTGGCTGGGTAAGCAGTGAGCAGCCCAAGGCAGCCCGGGGTCCTCTCACTTGGGCGGGATGGGTGACACTCAGCTAGCACCCTCTCCTAGCCCCAGCTCAGCTCCTGGCGGGCTGCAAACCGGGTGAGGTGAGTCACCCAGGAGGCTCGCCCACTGGCCTTGACTAAGCCCCTTTTGGGGCTTCATGCTCATTCCTCTGGCTTTTTTCCCTTTAACCCAAACTCCACTCTATTCCTGGGCGGCTGCCTGAGAGAAACCCGGGTGCTGGCCAAGTATTGAGCACCGCAGGCAAGCGCAGTCCTGGTTTCCCAGGCAGGGTGGAGATGAAGTCAAACGTGTTTGTGGACATTTGCTGCAGCTGGAGAGAAAACTCCACGCCCAGCTCCAAACTTTTCTTTATTTTTATTTGTTGCCTTGGGGTCATGGACTTAGATGTCTCTGCTATTTGAGACTAGTTGATTGTGCCACCCCAAACCAAGATTAAGATTCTCCCTGCACAACACTGCTTGCGTGTTTGGGAAATGATACAGCCGTCATCTATTTTTTAAAAATGCCCTATATGGCTGGTATATTTCTTGAGATAGGCTGCTTCATTTAAAATTGTTCATTCATTATTCATCTGTTTTAACAAGGACACAGTGTGGACCAGAACAGCTCCTTTAGCGGTCGGAATTATTTTGAGCTGCCTTGGTGCCAGGTTTTCGGAACACTGGCCGTGTGTTCCACTTTCTCCACCTTCTGCTTTTACCCGTAAACATCCTGAATGTTCAAGCTCTCCCTGTGAGGTCTGGTGCCAGTGGGCACACCCTACCTGACACCGTGCCGGATAATCTGAGCCTTCTTTTCAAACGAGCTTGACTCCTTATACTAGTGTTTCTTTCAGTGTATTTATTCTTGAGCTCGGGCGGGAAAAACATACAAAGCCACCATTTCACTTTAATGTCTAACATCTGAGAAATTTAAGAAACAAGTAAAAACATTTAGAAGTGATTTCCTAAGCATTAACAGACACTCAGATCGGCCATCTGAGACAGGAAACACAGAGGGGAAGGTAGTGTGTTTACAGTGCTCGGTGCTTGGTTGAGGTGTCTGAGCTTGCCACCCCTTGCTGCTTCAGCTTGGAGTGCCACTCCAGGCATAATACACACTACCCAGTGATCTATGCTCTATTCGTGAAACAGTGACCTGGGGTAGAACAGCCTTCCCACTCTGAACTTGGGTCTGGAGTGGATGTATGTCTGAAGGGTCAGCAGAGTGAGTTTAAATGGGAGAAAACTTGCTTGCTGTTCACAAGCTGTGTTTGGCTTCATCGGAAGACAGCTCAAGGAAGGCTCAGAGGCTAATTCTTCAATTCAGTAAACTTCTTCTTACCCAAGCAGGCGCCTTATGTATTGTGCTCCACGCAGCTCATAGATTCACTTGAGCTGTTTCTGTGTGCTTGTTTGAGACAGGGTCTTACAGGCAGGATGGTCCAGAACTCTGTGGACCACATTGGCCTCTTGTGCTCTATCTTCCTGCTTCCATAGCCTGAGTGCCTGGTTCTCTTATATTCTTAATTATCCATTTAGTGCAAACCAATCTCACAATTACAATAGGACATAGTTTGGGCAGAAATAGTCTAAAAAAATGGAAGCTAATAGTACATTAATTACAATATAATTCATCTATAAATTCAGGCTTCCCAGGAGCCTATAAGTCACTTGCAATACATAGTTTAGGAAGCTTTCCAAAGAATTTATAACCCCAAAGGTGCAATAAGGAAAAAAAGATCGAACACTGGTAGCATGTGATTAAATGACATGAAAGGGGTTTACAGACTCTGTGCGGTAGGGACAAGTAGCCTTGACGGACACAGGGAAATGAGGATAAATGGGGAGGTTCCTGTGCCAAGACCATAACCATCAAAGGAAGAGGAGTCAGGACACCTTCAGCGTTCCCAGCAGCCTTTCCTATTCCATTCTCCAGGCAGAGGAAGTTCCTTCCGAAAGAGTTTATTCTGAGATCCGAATAGGGAAGAGTTCACGAGGATTAGTGAGAATGATTGGCGCAAGTTCGGGGGAAAGAAGGTTTGACTTCGTGAAGGAAGGGAGGACGTCAGCTGGGAGAAGTCAAGTTAAAAGAGGCTGCGTGAGGGAGACGCCCAGTGTACCAACGAAGGGATAGACCCGACAGGAGGAGACAAGCGAAGCGGGAGGGACGCGGGACTAAGATGAGGGAAAAGGCAGACAGTCTTCCTTCAGGTCTACGCACTCAGCTTCCACAACACTAGGGCGTGTCTCAGGTAACGGTGCCAGTACTGTATGTCCAGATACAGTGAAAGTGAGAAGTGGTTGCCTGTGGCTCAAAACGTTTTACATTGCTCCTTAGAAACCATTTTGGCTTTGCATCTAGCAGTTAAACTGCACCCAGCTTTTGCCTCTGTTTCCTCACAGCATCCAGTCTGTGGGCAGGGATTGGTTTAAAGCTGCTATTGTGCCTCCAACCTTTATCCAAACACCTTCCCTCACCTTTCTCCTTGCCAGCTTTAGACATTACTTTAATCTATTTTAACACAGCTTTCACTGATGTTATAACGCGCGCGTGTATGTGTGTGTGTGTGTGTGTGTGTGTGTGTGTGTGCGCGCGTGCGCGCACGCATGTGGCTTTACACAGGGCACTGGGACGCAGAAGGACTAGATTACAATATATAGCACATAATGTACAATACAAGGATCTCATAATATACAAGGGGCTAGTGACAATGTCAAGGAAGTGACCGTTGGGCCAACAAGATGGATCAGTGAGTAAAGGCTCTTGCTGCTAAGGCCAAGCTTGACTACCCAGGTTCTGTCCCTGGAACTTACATGGTGGAAGGAGAGAAGCAACTCCTGACAGTTGTTCTCTGGTCTCCACATATGTGCTGTGGCATGAACGTATCTTTGCCTAAGTTAAGTAAACGCATGTAGAAAAAAAATAAAGCGGCTTGAGGGTCTTCTTGGCGATGGAGCTCTTTAGAGACACAAGGGTCTTCTTGGCGATGGAGCTCCTTAGTATCGGGACTCTGAAGGCAGACAAGTGAATCAGCACATGTGGTAAAGCTGCACAGAACTGACTTCACATGAGCACATCCGCAGGAACAAGCAACACTGGGAAATACAAATAAGGCTGACCGCACCCCTGTGGGCATCTCAGTTGTGATCCCCGTGAAAGCCTGTGCTCCCTTACACTTCAGGGTACTACACGATGCTGCGCCACACTCAAGTTTTAAAGAACTGCCATTGGATTCCACGTGTTTCCAGTAGATGCTACTCACCATGTTGAGGATGCTTCTTCTCTTCTAGTCCTAATGTGGCCAGATCTTTAAAATCAGGAATGAGAGCTAGGTAGGTCTAGTTGTGAGACTTCTCTTTAAATCTGTGTTTTGTTTATGAAATCGTCACACGTCCCAGTTTTAGGAGTTTCTCACTACACATGTAAGTGCAACATGCATACGTGTATAAAATATAAAGTGACACAGCAAAGCACGGGGTAGCAGGCACAGCACAAGCTTAGGAAAACAAGGGATGAGGTCACAAACAGAATTCACCTGGGACATCAAATGAAGTCATAAGCAGAATTCATACACAAACATTTTTGAGTACCTGCTAGAATTTCATCATGATTCAATAGATTTTGACTCAGTTCTACACATTAAAAAGGTTGATATTGGCTTCTTTAAGTCTTTTCAACCTTTGGAGGCCAGCCAGGGCTTTGGTTTATTCATTCTGATATTCTCTGGCCCAGCACAGTACATAAACATCAGCAGACAAGAGCATGACCTAATTAACGTCTTTCCATCTCATTTAATAACTTCCTGCCTACGGTTCATACCTACTTCAAAAGAGTCATGTTTCAACTCTTCAGTTAACAATGTTTCGGTCAAACACGTCATCCTTAATATCTTTGATGTCAACCTTGGCTTATGCGTCTTTCTTAAAGCATCTCTGTATGAAATTTACACCAAGAGTTGCTATCATGAAAGCTGAAAAAAATGGGCAAAGAATGGCACCAGCATTTTTTTTGGATTGCAGAATTGCATGTGGATATTTAAGGTGTATGTTAAAATACATTTCACAGGAAGTTTACAAAGCTGTTACCATATAAGTACTGTTCTGGCTGCTGAAATTTAAGAAGATCCTAGCCGGGCGCACGCCTTTAATCCCAGCACTCGGGAGGCAGAGCCAGGCGGATCTCTGTGAGTTTGAGGCCAGCCTGGGCTACCAAGTGAGTTCCAGGAAAGGCGCAAAGCTACACAGAGAAACCCTGTCTCGAAAAAAAAAAAAAAAAAAAAGAAGATCCTAGCTATATAGGTCACCTGTGAACATAGAAGGAGAACTGTGAAGGAACTTGAATTTTCCTAGTATAGGTAACTGGTTTCCTTCCCTCAATTTTGGTGAATTTCAATTGGCATCATTCAGGGAAATACTGCTACTGCTTCTAAGCTTATGGCTCATTGGGGAAAGTTACATATTGTGATCACCAAAGAATTTACTACTAATAAGAATTGTAAAAAATGAATTCATGTGGGGCTGGAGAGATAGTTCAGTGGTTGGGGGTGCTTACTGCTCTTGCAGAGGACATGAGTTTTGTTCCCAGCACCCACTTGGTGGTTCACTCTGCCTGTAACTTCAGCTTGAGGGGATCCAATGCCTTCTTCTGGCCTCTTTGAGTACCTGCACTCACATGCACATACCACACACAAACAAACAAATAATTTTTAAAAATCTTCTTTAAAACACATGTATTATCCTTCCTAAGAGTTTGCCCTTTAGAATTCTATAAACCTGTTTTGAAACTTTTTTATAACTTCAGGAATTACTCAGCCTCTCCCAGTGTCAATGAGTTCCACAGTACCATGGTGTAAGCCAGGTCTGTTTCATGGGGATACTTGAATGTCATTCATATAAAACACAAGTGCTGTGTGGCCCATTGCAAGAGTACTAGAAATGTGTTGGTATTTGCGTTACTATTAACTACAATTTTCATTCAGCTCAGATGTCATGAGGGTTTTGAAGGTTTAGGGTTGTGGATTTTTTTTTTTTTAATGAACTGTGAGTCTTCCTCAAGCCTATCTTGGTTCTGAATATCACATACTGTGTAGACATTGATGCTTAGGAATTTGACTTCAGCAAAGATATCTGGGTGGGTTCTATTTCATAACTGTGAAAGCTAATTGTATACATTCTTAAATTCTATCAGATACATAGCATTGAAGAGACATCATCGTGTTAGTTCCTTTCCTGCCTTTCCATCAGTGGTTATTTCACACAACAAAAGTAAAGAGATAGTCAAGTGGGGGACACAGGCTCAAAAACAGGGGACAGGTGAAGTTTCATTCACTTTCCTATCTTAAAAATCACTCAGTTATTTAATTATGGCCTATAAAGTATTTCTCGCTGACATGCTGTAAGCCTGAAGCAGTTCCTAAGTGTTTCCTGGCAGGATCTTATTAACTACATGAAATGAGTGCTTTCCTGAGTCTTGCTAGCATATATTGATTTTTTTCCCCAAGCAGATCTGTGTAGTAGTGTTTCTTTTAAGAATTTTTAAAAAGCAGGGACATGAAAAATGTTTGGTTATGAGCCAAATAACATATCACATGTTCTTCTGATAAGGAATCTTTCTGCAGCAGACTGCTGTCTTGAAACATAACGGAAACAAAATCTTCTCCATGTTAACATGTCCATTGATATTGTCATTGTTCTGCTGGAACAGGGAGAATAAGCCTTTCCTAGGGATGAGCTCCCTAATTAGTTACCCAATACAAACTGGTCAGCCCTGAAACCACATACACACAAACAACAAAAATGGACTCAGCAGGTTGTATAAATGTATCTGTGTATATCTGTATCTGTATTCAAAGAAAAAGAGAATATTAACTTGAGAAGGGGGAATTGGAGGAAAAGGGAAATGGGTAGTAGTATGATTATATTTCAATGAAAATGTATAGCAAACAAACAAACAAACAAACAAATTAGTAAAAGAGAGCTCTGGTGTCCTTCTCGTCAACTCTTCTGCCTCCGTGCTTTTCCTCCAGTGACTGAGAGCTGTGTTGTTTCAGGAAAGGAATGCTCCCAGGATGAAAGCACAGCAGCGGCCATCTTCACTGTCCAGATGGACGACTATCTGGGTGGCAAGCCAGTCCAGAGCAGAGAACTTCAAGGCTACGAGTCTACTGATTTTGTGGGCTATTTCAAAGGTGGTCTGAAATACAAGGTAAGCCCTTCTCTCTGACACTTTCCATTGTGACATTTTCAAACAGTTTCTCTTCCCGATGGTCCACACTTCATGGATCACAGCTTCTTGGAGGGCATGGGTTTGATTTTTGTTTTGTCTTAGAATTCCCGCACCTCTCTCTCTCTCTCTCTCTCTCTCTCTCTCTCTCTCTCTCTCTCTCTCTCTCTCTCTCTGACTCTGTCTCTCTCGCTCTCTCTGTGTCTCTGTCTCTGTCTCTCTCAGTGATTTATCTTCATATTTGTCAGACATATAGTTGGTACTGAGTAAATTCTGTAAAGGAAACCCAGTTTCAGGATGTATGGTGTGATGTGAATTATTATGACCTAATTTACTTACATGGGCAATTTTTTGAGACACTATCTCTTGTAGCCTTAGGCTAGCCTCAAACTCATTATGTAGTCAAAGATGACCTTTGCTCCTGATCCTTCTGCCTCTACCTCGCAAGTGTTCAGATTACAGGTGTGTGCGGCCATACCTGGTTTATGCTGTATTTGAGATGGAGCCCAGAGACTTCCAAATGCCCTGAAGGCATTCTACCAACTGAGATACATCCTCAGCTCCTTAATAATTAAAAAAAAAATGTGTATGTATTGATAGTTAAATAGGCCTACCTCTTAGGCAATGCATAGTAAAGGGTAGACCCTGCCTCCCTCACCCTAGTTCCCCCAGTGAGCTTTGCAGTTGGATCATCCTTCCCTAGTCCTTCCCTCCCTGCCCACGAATTCAGTTAAAACATGAGAAATAGCCTCCTCAGATAGACACCTGTTGTTTGTTTTTGCTCTTTTGGGGGGTGCACCACCCAGCTCCTAAATAAATCATACACTGAGGCTTATTCTTAATTATAAATGCAGAGCCTTAGCTTGGCTTGTTGCTAGCCAGCTTTACTTAAATTATCCCAACCAGCTTTTGCCTTTGGGCTTTTATTTTTCTCTATTCCTGTATACCTTTCATTATTTCTTACTCTGTGGCTCTCTGTGCAGCTGGGTGGCTGGACCCTCATATTCTCCTCCTTCTACGGCTACTCCTTCCTTGATCTTGCTTCCCCTCCTCCAAGATTTCTCCTTGTATTAATTCTTAATGCCTGCCAGCCCTGCCTATCCTTTCTCCTGCCTTGCCATTGGCTGTTCAACTCTTTATTAGACCATCAGGTAGTTTAGACAGGCACAGAATCACAGCTTCAGAGAGTTAAACAAATGCAACATAAACAAAAGTAGCACATCTTAATATTCCCCCTTTTTTTCTAAATAGAAATGAAATGGTTTAACTTTAACATAATAAGACTGTATGTAGTATGAACAATTATCAAGTAAAGATTACATTTACAATGTACTGAATTCCAATTCATTTATACCTGGTAAATTTAAAGAAAATACTCCATAATCTATTCTATCTTAGTAAATCCAAAATTTTGTACCTAATTTACTTTCTATTATATCTAGGGAAAACTGCAACTATAACTATCTAGTCTTCAACTCTATCAAAGACTCCAAAAGGATATAGTATTTAAATAAAAATAAAGTGCATTACAAACAACTTTCAAAAACTCTAGAAATAATAGGGTCATCTGACTGCCTGAACAGTTACTCAAATTTCCTCTGCAACATTGGGGCATCCATCTTCAGCCTACAGGTCCAATGTATCTGGCAGACTTTTTAATGAAGCAGGAAATTTGAAAGACTGTCCCACCTATATTGGAAAAGTTTGTCAGTCACTTTCCTCAGTTTCTTCTGTGAAGCAGGAACCCTGAAGGACCATCATGCCTTGCTTTGGCAAAGTTCAGCAATCGTTTTCCTGTGGGTCCTGAATGTCCAGTTTATACAACATACTGTCGAGCAGTCCAGGCAAGAGCAGCTTCTTGCCCAAATGGCTAGCCTTGCCATATTGAAAGCAAACTCTATAAGGAGTTTCTTTGATGCCCATCATCTCTGAAGTAAATCGATGTTGCCAGGAGCAGATATGTCTCATTGTCATGAAAAGCCCTAAGTTAACAAAACATTTTAAATGACATATTCTGTAGGTCTTTGAAAGGTTTAAGACCATCTATCTATCTAAAATATGTCTCTATATGATCTGGAAAGCATACCTAATATATCTACAATTTTGAATGTTATAAATGACTAACAATTGCCCTCTGTTTCCTGATTATCCTGTATAGCTTATAATAGTAGTTTTCAAAAACTAGAACTTCACTCTACATTTCCAAATGAATTGCATAGGCACAATACCTCAAACAAAAATAGAAACATTCATACAATATGTTGTAACAAAAATAACCTTACATTTTTACCAATATACAAAAATTCTTTAAACAAGAGTAGACACATAATATAGTATAACAAAAATAACTTTAAATTTGTGTCAATATTCTATATTCCCCTAAATGATAACAAACATCCATAACCCACAAAATAACCAAAACCCACCTACACCCCACAACTCTTGGGAATGTGGGCATAGTTTTCTCTAAACTGCTTCCTGCTGTCTGTGGGCAAATGCATCTTTAGAGGTCCCTGAGAAAATTTTGAGATAATTACCAAGCCCTGGGAAGACCAGCAGTAACTTTTGGTCATAGAAATCACCTGTCAAGATTCAGGAGGCCTCCCTTGGTCACACCTGATCCACATTATTCCTGAAGGAATCCACAACCTCTCATTTCCTGTGGGAAGAAAACAAAGCATTTTTTATTTCCACTTGAAAAATACATTTTTTGGCTTCTTTTTCTAAAGTTAAGATAGATCTAAAGTATCTAGGTTGGTTCAGTTTTGCAGTCCTCACAATCCCATGTCTCTTAGCAGCTGTTGTTTGCTTCTCAACATTCAAAAAAATTCAAAATCAACACAATAACATACAGGATCCAGACTCCTTGTGTATTTCCCATCTTACGTGTCATTTTTCTTTTATATTACTTTAACTCTCTTTATAGACTTTACTTTATTATTTCTTTTTTTTTTTTTTTTTTTTTTTTTTTTGGTTTTTCGAGACAGGGTTTCTCTGTGTAGCTTTGCGCCTTTCCTGGAACTCACTTGGTAGTTCAGGCTGGCCTCGAACTCACAGAGATCCGCCTGGCTCTGCCTCCCGAGTGCTGGGATTAAAGGCGTGCGCCACCACCGCCCGGCGACTTTATTATTTCTAAACTATTTCTTTCTATGGCTGTCCATACTCCTTTTCGTTCGTTCTTAAGCCTATGCACATTGTAAAACACACTGGAACCTGTTTAGAGATTTTTTTTCTATCTGGACCTCTTTTACTGCATATCTTTTAGACTTTTTTCACCATGTGAGCAAACCTTTAAACTGCTAACCTAAACCTGGATCCTCCATGTGCCTCTCTTGGCTGGCTCTACCTGCTTCTTGGGACATGAAAGGCAGGCCTAAAGCTCACGGCTTGGTTGGAGGTTCATGACCAAGAACTGCATTTACCCTTCCTAGAGCTCTAGAATGTCAATGCTTGTGCTGTGTCAGGTGTTTTTACTTAGTTTTTTGTTCCTACTTAACATAATAGCTGCTCTAGGGCTCACTGTCTGGCAGAAACTCTTAAAGGAGCCGTATCTTTTTTTTTTTTTTTTAAAGCTTTCTCAGGCACTATGGAAATTCGAGCACCCTGTTGGTACACCAAAATGTTGTTGTTTTGCTCTTTGAGGGGCCCACCACCCAGCTCCCAAATAAATCACACACAGAAGCTTATTCTTAATTATAAATGACCAGCCTTAGCTTGGCTTGTTGCTAACTAGCTTTAGTTAACTTAAAATTATCCCATCTACTTTTGGCCTCTGGGCTTTTCCTTTTCTATTCCTGTATAACTTTTTTTGTTTCTTACTCAGTGGCTTGCTGTGCAGCTGGGTGGCTGGCCCCTGGGTCCTCCTCCTTCTCTGACTACTTCTTTCTTCCTTCCAGATTTCTCCTTCTGTATATCCTCTCTGCCTGCCAGCCCTGCCTATCCTTTCTTCTGAACTTGGCTGTTCAGTTCTTTATTAGACCATCAGGTGTTTAGAGAGGCACAGGAACACAGCTTCACAGAGTTAGACAAATGCAGCATAAACAAAAGTAGCATACCTTAAAATATTCTACAACAGACACCCCAGAAATAAGCCCTCTCTAAGGAAGACATGGGCCAGCAGGTGCTCACCTGCTGCTTCACTCCTGTGAGTACCTAGACCATAGAGCTAAACAGGACTTCTGAATATATGCTAATTTGCCTTTTAAAAATGGCAGATTTAAGTCAGACTTGGGGGTGCATACCTACATTGCCATCATTTTGGAGGTTGAGGCATCAGGATCATGTGTTCAAGGCCAGCCTGAGCTATATAGACACACTCTACATCAAAGTTGAAAACAAAACAAAAAACAGCCAATCAACAAACCAGTTAACCAACCAAACAAACCCAAAAACAATGACCAAAAGATGACAGGTTTACCTCTATCTTTATTGGATTTTGTCCTTGGTAGAATATTTGCAATACCATGAGATCAGACAAAACAACCACAAGATTTCTTCTGTCTCTTGGAATCATGATTTCACACCAGGATGTAAGCCACTTCAAACATGAGAGTTCCTCCAGTTTATGTCGAAAGATTCTGAAGTTTCCTTCATTTCAATGAACCCAACAGTCTGAAGAACTGAGAACTTACATTTGTTCAAAGCAGGAACAATAGAGTCACCTTGTCAGAAACCATGTCATCCAGACAAATGGTTTGCTTCAGGGAAGTGCAGGGAAAACACTTGGTTTTCCAGGATGTACGATGTATTTTTTACTAGTTCCCCAAACAGACATTGCATGGGAATTGAGCATTACAGTAAACAATAAAATTCTAACATACCACATACACAGGATGAATTTCGCTATTAACAGGATCTTGGAAACCAAATTCTAGGATACATATGCAAAAGTGGACATAATAACAAAGTAGTTGTTTGGGTAATTATCTTCTATGGGCATTAAAGCGGCCATGAGTCAGCATTCTTCAAAAAGGGGATGTTTGTAAGTGGAGGTCACATAGGTCATCAGGATCAGCTGATTCTCTGATCAGCAGCATGATGCTGGTGTGGGTGGCTACAGGAGCCATTGCTTGCTAGGATGTGTGGCTTCAGAGATAACTTGCCACTCAGAGTGGCCGAGATGACCATGTGATGCTGTTTCTCCCCATTTTTACTTTCAAGTTTATAGATTATGCTAATCATGACATGCAAATTACCTTATTTAATATAAATCCCCAGTGGGTGCATTTGCCATCGATTCTACTCTGTTCAGATAAATGAAGCAAGACTCAGAGATTCTATGCCACTTACGACAGTCCCTGCTAGTAAGTGACTGTGTGACTGTCTGACCCAGGTGCCTAAGCTGGTAATCACCATTCTCTGCTTCTCTCAACATAAATAAGTGATGCATATGTCAAGACAGATATAATAGAAGAGTACCTGGAAGCAGTTTGGTGTCTGTTTTGAGTGGGCAAACTTAACAGAGCCTGTCATTAACAAGTCTATAAAAATCATGCCGAGTTGCTGTCCACTATGTCACGGTTCAACTGGAACTGCCAGAATCATCTTCCTGTCTCAGGGTTTGCATCCTTTGTCTCTGGGCACTTCCAAAGCTAGAAAAGTGGTTACAAACATCCATTACCACTGCTCCCTGGCATTAAATTTCTGGCTAACATATTTTTCTCAAGCCATGATTGTAGACAGTGACCAGCAAGCATGTTTCACTCGCACACCTGTGCTGGTCCCACTGGCTGCTTAGTTGTGGCCCTTCCTAGAGAAAGCAGAAAAGGTCTGGAAGCTTCTAGTGCTAACTTAGACAGTGTTCATGAGAGAGCTACTTACTCACCAGTGCAGACGTATGCATGGAGTGCCGTTTTGCTTTGTTTACTTTTATTATTATTGTGTATATGTATGATGTGTGTTGGGGGCAGGCTCACATGTGTGTCACTGCATGAGTGTGGAGGCCAGAGGACATCTTTGTGAAGTCAGTTTGTTCCTGGGATTTCAACTCAGGCCAGCAGGGTTACCTGGCAAGGCTTTTACCCACAGAGCAACCTTGCTAGGCTGACAACATACAGCTTTTTTTGGGGGGGGCATTTGTAACATTGAACATTAAAAAATAGTTAAATATATATTTATTAATATATATTATTAATATATATTATTATATATATTATATTCGAGACAGGGTTTCTCTGTGTAGTTTTGGTGCCTGTCTTGGATCTCGCTCTATAGACCAGGCTGGCCTCAAACTCACAGAGATCTGCCTGGCTCTGTCTCCCAAGTGCTGGGACCAAAGGCATGCATCACCACCTCCTGGTAACAGTATTATATTTTAACTTTAAAAATTATATTTATTTATATCTTTATAAGTGTGTGCCTGTATTTATGTGCATGGTGTGTGTGTGTGTGTGTGTGTGTGTGTGTGTGTGTGTGTGTGTGTCTCATGTCTGTGTGTCTCTGTGTGGTATATGTATGCTGTGGAGATCAGAGGAAAACTTACAGGAGTCAGTTTTCTCCGTCTACCATGTGGGTCCTGGGGATCAAACTCATGTTGTCAGGCTTGGCGGCATGCATCTTTACCTGCTCGGCCACCTCGCTGGCCAGAGAAAGGATTGTGCTTTTTAAAAGAATGCTGAATTTTCAAGGTATAAATTACTCTGATAGGTTACTCTATGAGATTAGTTTGAATGTTTTATATGTGTGTGGGAAAGGGGCCAGAGATAACAGTCTAAATCTGATTCCACATTATAACCTTTTATTCCACATACAGTATCCTTTACTATTTTTAAAAACCAGATCACAGTGTAATCCTACTTATTTTTAAAAAGTAGAATGTTCTTGGAAAGCTGAAGCAGGATGGTTGTAAATTTGAGGCCATCCTGGGCAACTTAACAATACTGCTTAAAAACATGTGTGTGTATGTATGTATAGATAAGTGTACATATCTATCTATATATTTATAATACAACCTCATAATTAGACACATCATCTTCTTGCTGATTATGAAAGTAAAGATATAGGAATTAATTAGAAAAAGAGAAAAATATAAAAGATGATTGCAGTACTACAAGAAGATGTAGTGAATAACAGATTTTTTCCTTCAGTAACTCTCATTCAATGCTTTTTGTTTTGTTCTGTTTGGGGATGGAGAATCATGATTCTATATCTTCCTTGACATTAAAAAAACTCAGCCCTGGGGTTTTGTTGTTTGTTTTTGTGCCCTTCACAGGAACAGCCCACCCTTAGCCACATCTTCTATTTCCTTCTCTGTTGTGTGACGGTGGGAAGGTTGGGTACCTCTTCTCTATGGTGATGGTGGGAAGGTTGGGAACCTCTTCTCTATGGTGACAGTGGGAAGGTTGGGAACCTCTTCTCTATGGTGATGGTGGGAAGGTTGGGAACCTCTTCTCTATGGTGATGGTGGGAAGGTTGGGAACCTCTTCTCTGTGGTGACAGTGGGAAGGTTGGGAACCTCTTCTCTATGGTGACAGTGGGAAGGTTGGGAACCTCTTCTCTATGGTGATGGTGGGAAGGTTGGGAACCTCTTCTCTGTGGTGACGGTGGGAAGGTTGGGAACCTCTTCTCTATGGTGACAGTGGGAAGGTTGGGAACCTCTTCTCTATGATGATGGTGGGAAGGTTGGGAACCTCTTCTCTGTAGTGACAGTGGGAAGGTTGGGAACCTCTTCTCTATGATGATGGTGGGAAGGTTGGGAACCTCTTCTTTATGGTGATGGTGGGAAGGTTGGGAACCTCTTCTCTATGGTGACAGTGGGAAGGTTGGGAACCTCTTCTCTATGGTGATGGTGGGAAGGTTGGGAACCTCTTCTCTATGGTGATGGTGGGAAGGTTGGGAACCTCTTCTCTGTGGTGACGGTGGGAAGGTTGGGAACCTCTTCTCTGTGGTGACAGTGGGAAGGTTGGGAACCTCTTCTCTATGGTGATGGTGGGAAGGTTGGGAACCTCTTCTCTATGATGATGGTGGGAAGGTTGGGAACCTCTTCTCTATGGTGATGGTGGGAAGGTTGGGAACCTCTTCTCTATGGTGACAGTGGGAAGGTTGGGAACCTCTTCTCTATGGTGACAGTGGGAAGGTTGGGAACCTCTTCTCTATGATGATGGTGGGAAGGTTGGGAACCTCTTCTTTATGGTGATGGTGGGAAGGTTGGGAACCTCTTCTCTATGGTGACAGTGGGAAGGTTGGGAACCTCTTCTCTGTGGTGATGGTGGGAAGGTTGGGAACCTCTTCTCTATGGTGATGGTGGGAAGGTTGGGAACCTCTTCTCTGTGGTGACGGTGGGAAGGTTGGAAACCTCTTCTCTGTGGTGACAGTGGGAAGGTTGGGAACCTCTTCTCTATGATGATGGTGGGAAGGTTGGGAACCTCTTCTCTATGATGATGGTGGGAAGGTTGGGAACCTCTTCTCTATGGTGACAGTGGGAAGGTTGGGAACCTCTTCTCTATGATGATGGTGGGAAGGTTGGGAACCTCTTCTCTATGGTGATGGTGGGAAGGTTGGGAACCTCTTCTCTATGGTGACAGTGGGAAGGTTGGGAACCTCTTCTCTATGGTGACAGTGGGAAGGTTGGGAACCTCTTCTTTATGGTGATGGTGGGAAGGTTGGGAACCTCTTCTCTATGGTGACAGTGGGAAGATTGGGAACCTCTTCTCTATGGTGACGGTGGGAAGGTTGGGAACCTCTTCTCTATGGTGATGGTGGGAAGGTTGGGAACCTCTTCTCTATGGTGATGGTGGGAAGGTTGGGAACCTCTTCTCTATGGTGACGGTGGGAAGGTTGGGAGCCTCTTCTCTATGGTGACAGTGGGAAGGTTGGGAACCTCTTCTCTATGGTGATGGTGGGAAGGTTGGGAACCTCTTCTCTGTGGTGATGGTGGGAAGGTTGGGAACCTCTTCTCTGTGGTGACGGTGGGAAGGTTGGGAACCTCTTCTCTATGGTGATGGTGGGAAGGTTGGGAACCTCTTCTCTATGATGATGGTGGGAAGGTTGGGAACCTCTTCTCTATGGTGACAGTGGGAAGGTTGGGAACCTCTTCTCTATGGTGATGGTGGGAAGGTTGGGAACCTCTTCTCTATGGTGATGGTGGGAAGGTTGGGAACCTATTCTCTATGGTTACAGTGGGAATCCTCTTTTTCTGTGAGTGACAATGGGAAGGTTGGGTACCTGTCCTGAGATACTGTAGTTGAGGCTCCTCATCTCCAATTTCCCCAGCCTCCTGTTGCTTTCTTGGCTACAATCTGCTGCTCACCCATGAGTCATCTGAGAAAGACCAGGGAAATCAATGTTGACTTTTCTTTTTATGTAGCATGGTATTCCTCACTGAGGGTCCTTGGTAAATGTGCTTAATTTCATACTAAATTTTTATGATGGGGGAAAAAGAGCAAAGTAACCAGCTCACCTGTTGATCTTACCAATAATTCTCTTTCCTCATCTCCCTTTCCACCTGTTCTGCAGTGGTGTCTTGGTCCTGGCCTCGCCTGGGCATTCTTGCCTGGTGGCGTGTGCCTTGCTGTGTTTGGATAGCGGTCTCACTTCTCTCTGTGTTGTGTTGTGTTTCCCTCCCCGTGGCCAGGCTGGAGGTGTGGCTTCTGGACTAAACCATGTTCTCACCAATGACCTGACAGCCGAGAGACTCCTGCATGTGAAGGGTCGGAGAGTGGTCAGGGCCACGGAAGTCCCTCTCAGCTGGAAGAGCTTCAACAAAGGTGACTGCTTCATCATTGACCTTGGCACTGTAAGTTTCTGAGGCCACAGAGACACCTGTGGGAATTTGCTACAACAAATCAGATGCACACACCTTTGAAGATAACCGTTCTACACACTTGACAGTTATTTAAAGACACACAGTGTGGGAATTCAAAGACGTTTTGTTCTCTGACAGGTTTAGGATAGAAAAATGATTTGGTTTTTCCTACCACAGAATAGAATTTGAACAATTTTCAACATATTTCCCCATGACTCTGGACAGATTTCCACTGATTATTTTTGTCTTTGATTGTGTGTAAGAAAATGTGGCTTGAGGGTAGGGGAAATGACTCTCTAAGCAACCAAAGGTTCCAGAATTTAAGTTGGCCATATGATGAGTCTAAACAGCCTGAGGAACTAAGAAGGAAATATTTTAACATATGAGCATACATAAATGTGTGTGTTTGTTTGTGGATGTGTGTGTGCGTGTGTGTATCACAATGCTTAATGTTTATATTGTGTCTTTTAGACTTTCAAAGCCATGTGCCATGGCATAAGCAGGCAGGGAAGATGGATCCTCCTCATGATCCTCACTCTTCAGATGCAATTCACAGCCATGCTCTGATTGTCATCTCTCGCACTGTGTGGCAAGCTGTATACAGAGCCCATTGCTTTAGTTAGCATGTAGTTTGAATTTCCTAGACCCCATCAAGGTTGCATAGCCTGTAGATAGGGAAGCCAGAGCTGGACTCCAGGCTTGTCTGATTCTCCTCTAGACATTGTGTTTTACTGTGTCTGTCTGGGCTGTGTTTGAAATAAAGCAGTAGACAGTACATGCACAGAGAAGGAAGCAGTAAGGATTCTAAAAGTGGAGTTACATGGTTAGCTCTTTGTGAATAGTATTAATCTGGCAACAACAGAGGCATGACATGTATTAAGGTTATAGTTTGAAAAATAGTCCCAAAACATAGGCTTCATCTGTCCCTCTAAGTTAGGGTGTGTCTATAATTTCAGTACTGATAGCCCATAATTTGATGGTTTTGGATCATAGCAGCTTGTGTGTGTCACTGAGATTCCAATAATACCAATGCTCAAAATACAATTCCCAGTCCTGACTGGATGTCTGTACAGGTGAATGGCTGTTCTCCAATTCTGAGTCTCATAGTCAATTTCATGTAGTTGAAAGATTTCCTGTGTCCCACCCAGCCCACGATTGGAACAAATCTCTCTTACCTGTAGTCCTGCAGACACTTATAAAGTAATCACTCAGAGGCTTAATATTAATTACAAACTGTATGGCCTATGGCTAAGAATTCTTGCTAGCTAGCTCTTTCATCTTAAATTAACCCATTTATATTAATCTATGTATTGCCATGTGGCTGTGGCATTACCAGTCTGCTGGCATATTGCTCCTTGGGTGGTGAACTGGCATCTCCTCTGCTTTTCTTTTTCCTCTATCTCTCTTGGATTTCCTGCCTGTCTATAACCTGACTCACCATAGACCAGAGTAGCTTCTTTATTGACCAATCATAGCAACCCATATTCACAGTGTACAGAAAGACATCCCACAGCAAAGTCCTTTCCAACTTCAAAACCCAATCCACTCCACTATCTAACTAATTTGAGACCTGGCTTTTGTGTCTCGGCACAAACCAGCTGCTAGACCACTCCATCATTACCCTACACCAGAAATAAAGAAGTATTTATTGGAAGTAAAAGACCGGAGGCATCATTAAACCACATAGTTCTAAAAATCAGCTGCAATTGTCCCTCAAGGACTGTGCACTACTGTTTGTCTCAGCTTTTATTTCATTATCTATTTATTTATTTTAATGATTGTTTCCTTTTTTGAAACATAACAAAACAAAATATAGTAAGACAAAACCCATCACATTGGCATTGGACAGGGCAAACCAGCAGAAGGAAAAGAGCCCAAGAGAAGGTACAAGAATCAGAGACCTGCTCATTGACAAATTCAGGAGTCCCATAAAAATATAGCTTTTAGTTTAGTTATCATAAACTGAAAGCTATAATATATATGCAGAAGACCTGGTGCAGACCTGTGTAGGCATTGTGCTTTCTGCTTCAGTCTCTGTGAGTTTATATGAGCTTTTCTTAGTTGATTCAGAGGGTCTTGTTCTCCTGGTGTCCTCCATCCCCTCTGGCTCTTACACTCTTTATGCTCCCTCTTCCACAGGGTTTCCTGAGATCTGAGGAAAGGGATTTGATGGAAACATCCCATTTAGAGCTGTGTGTTATAATGTCTGTCTGTCTGCCCCTCCCCATCCCCGTGTGTGTGTGTGTGTGTGTGTGTGTGTGTGTGTGTGTGTGTGTGTGTGTGTGAAGTGTCTGGCTGTGGGTATCTGCGTTTGTTTCCAACTGTTGCAGGAGGAATCGTCTCTGATGATGGCTGAATAAGGCACTTATCTATGAATATAGAGAATGTCATTAGGAGTCATTTTATCACTTCTTCTTCTTCTTCTCCTCCTCCTCCTCCTCCTCCTTCTTCTTCTTTTAAGACCAGTAGTATTTGGTTTTACCCTAGGTCTCTGGTCTATCTAGCCTCTGGTTCTTGGTCACCCAAGCAGTGTCAGTAATGGGTTCCATCTTGAGGGATGGGCCTTAAGTCAAGTCAGATATTGGTTGGTTACTCCCACAAACTTTGTGCTACCATTGCCCCTGCATATTTTGCAGGCAGGATAGCAATGTAGATCAAAGGGTTTAATGGCTGAGTTGCTGTTTACCTTTCTTCTTTGGTAGCTTGCAGAGTACCTTCCTGTACCGCAGATACTAGAACATAGAAGTGAAGGTTCTATATAGGCACCAGTTTGACATCTCCATGTTCTGAGTTGTGTGGGTATTATCTTCAACCATGGGGCCTTGTTGTCAGTTTGTGGAGAGCAACCTACTGTCTTGACAACAGCCTGGGTTGTTTGGGGATTCCCATGGGACCCCTTTGGTCCACAACTCAGTTGGATGTAACCCAAGAAGCTTTGTTTGGTAACAAGCGATAGCCAGCTGGGACTGTCTTCCTCATTGTTTGTAGACTTCATTAGGATCGCTTTCATATATTTTAGGAAGTTTTCACTGTACTAGGTTTCCATATCACCCCTCAAATTTCCCTCAATTCTAGGTGTCTCTCTTGCATTCCCTTCCTCAACCCCATCTCCCCTTCCCCTCTCTACCTGATTCTTCCATTTCTGCCACCCTGCCCCCAATCCACCCGCAAAATCTATTGTATTTTCCTTTCCTAGAGAGATACAGATGTCCCCCCCCCCCCAATCCCTTCCTCTATACATAACTTCTCTGGGTCTATGGATTGTACCTTGGTTATCATTTACATATGTCATATTATATACCATATTTGTCTTTCTCAATCTACATACCATATTTTTCTTTCTAAGTCTGGGTTACCTCACTTAGAATGACTTTTTTCTAGTTCCATCCATTTGCCTGCAAATTTCTCAAGGTCATTTTTTTTAAAAACAGTGCAATAATACTCAATGTACCATATTTTCTCTATCCATTCTTCTGCTGAGGGACATCTAGGTTGTTCCCAATATCTTGCTATTATGAACAAAGCAGCAATGAACATGGTTCAGCAAGTGTTCTTGTGGTGAGATGGAGCCTTCTTTGGGTATATGCCCAAAAATGGTATAACTGGATCTTCAGGTAGATGAGTTCCCATCTTTCTGAGGAACTACCATACTAATTTTCATAATGGCTGTGAGAGTTTGCACTCTCACCAGCAATGGAGGAGTGGTCCCCTCACTTCACATCCTCACTAGCATGAACTTGTGTTTTTGATCTTGGCCATTCTGACAAATATTTTTTTTTTTTTGGTTTTTCGAGACAAGGTTTCTCTGTGTAGCTTTGCGCCTTTCCTGGAACTCACTCTGTAGCCCAGGCTGGCCTCGAACTCACGGAGATCCGCCTGGCTCTGCCTCCCGAGTGCTGGGATTAAAGGCGTGCGCCACCACCGCCCGGCTCATTCTGACAAATATAAGATGAAATCTCAACGTCATTTTGATTTGCATTTCCCTGATGGCTAAAGATGTTGAACATTTCTTTAAGTGTTTCTCAGTCATTTGAGTTTCCTCTGTTGAGGATTCTTGTTTAAATCTGCACTTCATTTTTTAACAGATTATTTAGTTTTTTGGTATCTAGTTTCTTGAGTTCTTTATATAGTTTGGATATTAGTCCTCTATTGGATGTGGAGTTAGTAAAAATCTTTTCCATTCTGTAGACTGATGCTTTGTCTAAATAATGGTATCCTTTGCCTTACATAAGCTTTTTTGCTTAATGAGTCCCATTAATTAATTGTTGATTTTAGTGCCTATGCTAATAGTGTTCTATCCAGAAAGTCTTCTCCTCTATCAATGCATTCAAAACTATTTCCTACTTCCTCTTCTATCAGGTTCTGTGTGTCTGGTTTTATGTTGAGGTCTTTGATCCACTTGCACTTGAGTTTTGTGCAGGGTGACAAGTGTGGATCTATTTGCATTCTTCTACATTTACACATCCAGTTAGACCAGCACCATTTGGTGAAGATACTGTCTTTTTTCCAGTATGTATTTCTGGTTACTTTATTAAAAAAAATTAGGTGTCCATAGGTGTGTGAATTTATGTCAGGGTCTTTAATTCAATTCCATTAGTCAACATTTCTGTTTTTGTGCCGTGTGTGTGTGTGTGTGTGTGTGTGTGTGTGTGTGTGTGTGTATGTGTTTCCATATGATGTTAAAAATCGTCCTTTCAAGATTTGTGAAGAGTTATGTTGGGATTTTGGTGGAATATTGATAGTCAATAATATACATTGAATCTGTATATTATTTTGAGTAGGATGGACATTCCTTCATTGCCATCAAAAATAAAGAAATATTGACTGGCAGTAAAATCCCAAAGACATCATTAAACCACAAGTTCTAAAAATCACCTGCAATTTTCCCTCAAACTTGTGCACTTTCAAGTGTTTGTCTTAGGTTTTATTTTTAATGCATATTTTGAAGTCCTTTACAAGTGTTTTGCATATGAAATGATATCATTTTCAAA